AGTGATGATGTCCCCTCAGTGATGATATCCCCCTCAGTGATGATGTCCCCTCAGTGATGATATTCCCTCATTAACACCAAACACAGTTACACAAGTCAACCTACTGACCACCAAACACAGTTGCACAAGTCAACCTACTGACCACCAAACACAGTTGCACAAGTCAACCTATTGACCACCAAACACAGTTACACAAGTCAACCTATTGACCACCAAACACAGTTGCACAAGTCAACCTACTGACCACCAAACACAGTTGCACAAGTCAACCTACTGACCACCAAACACAGTTGCACAAGTCAACCTATTGACCACCAAACACAGTTACAAAGTCAACCTATTGACCACCAAACACAGTTACACAAGTCAACCTATTGACCACCAAACACAGTTGCACAAGTCAACTTATTGACCACCAAACACAGCTACACAAGTCAACCTATTGACCACCAAACACAGTTACACAAGTCAACTTATTGACCACCAAACACATTGTCTATACCTAACATTCCTAAACCTATTGTCTAAACCTAACCTGCCCAAACCTATTGTCTATACCTAACCTGCCCAAACCTATTGTCTATACCTAACCTGCCCAAACCTATTGTCTAAACCTAACCTGCCCAAACCTATTGTCTATACCTAACCTGCCCAAACCTATTGTCTATACCTAACCTGCCCAAACCTATTGTCTAAACCTAACCTGCCCAAACCTATTGTCTATACCTAACCTGCCCAAACCTATTGTCTATACCTAACCTGCCCAAACCTATTGTCTAAACCTAACCTGCCCAAACCTATTGTCTATACCTAACCTGCCCAAACCTTTGTCTATACCTAACCTGCCCAAACCTATTGTCTATACCTAACCTGCCCAAACCTATTGTCTAAACCTAACCTGCCCAAACCTATTGTCTATACCTAACCTGCCCAAACCTATTGTCTATACCTAACCTGCCCAAACCTATTGTCTAAACCTAACCTGCCCAAACCTATTGTCTAAACCTAACCTGCCCGTGACAGAATAAGTCATGTGTTTTGAAAAGTTTCATTTAGAGATCAAGGGCAAAGAACACAGCACACATCAACCATGACATTCAATATTGAGAGGTTGTATACACTAGTATGGGATTTGAAACTGTTGCCAATTAGAGCTTAGATAATGCCTGTTGCCACAACCTAATCAATACATATGGCCTGATTAGTGATAAATCAATGAATCAATCAGCTGGATGTCATATCTATAATAAAGATTAGCTGCAACAGAACTTTACCACTCTATCTTTTCTCATGCCTGAACACTCTGTGAGGCTGGTTGAACACTCCCTGTCTCTCACCCTAGTTTAACAATCACTGTCTCTCACCCTGGTTGAAAATGCTGTCTCACCCTGGTTGAACAATCACTGTCTCTCACCCTGGTTGAACACTTCGTCTCTCACCCTAGTTTAACAATCACTGTCTCTCACCCTGGTTGAACAATCACTGTCTCTCACCCTAGTTGAACAATCACTGTCTCTCACCCTGGTTAAACAATCACTGTCTCTCACCCTGGTTGAACAATCACTGTCTCTCACCCTGGTTGAACAATCACTGTCTCTCACCCTAGTTTAACAATCACTGTCTCTCACCCTGGTTGAACAATCACTGTCTCTCACCCTGGTGGAACAATCACTGTCTCTCACACTGGTTGAACAATCACTGTCTCACACCCTGGTGGAACACTCCGTCTCTCACCCTAGTTTACCAATCACTGTCTCTCACCCTAGTTTAACAATCACTGTCTCTCCCCCTGGTTGAACAATCACTGTCTCTCACCCTGGTTGAACAATCACTGTTTCTCACCCTGGTGGAACACTCCGTCTCTCAACCTAGTTTAATAATCACTGTGTCTCACCCTGGTGGAACACTCCAACTCTCACCCTAGTTTGACAATCACTGTCTCTCACCTGGTTGAACAATCACTGTCTCTCACCCTGGTTGAACAATCACTGTCTCTCACCCTAGTTTAACAATCACTGTCTCTCACCCTGGTTGAACAATCACTGTCTCTCACCCTGGTGAAACACTCCGACTCTCACCCTAGTTTAACAATCACTGTCTCTCACCCTGGTTGAACAATCACTGTCTCTTAACCTGGTTGAACAATCACTGTCTCTCACCCTAGTTTAACAATCACTGTCTCTCACTCTGGTGGAACAATGACTGTCTCTCACCCTGGTAGAACAATCACTGTCTCTCACCCTGGTGGAACAATAACTGTCTCTCACCCTAGTTTAACAATCACTGTCTCTCACCCTGGTTGAACAATCACTGTCTCTCACCCTGGTGAAACACTCTGACTTTCACCCGAGTTTAACAATCACTGTCTCTCACCTTGGTTGAACAATCACTGTCTCTCACCCTGGTGGAACACTCCCACTCTCACCCTAGTTTAACAATCACTGTCTCTCACCCTGGTTGAACAATCACTGTCTCTCACCCTGGTTGAACAATCACTGTCTCTCACCCTAGTTTAACAATCACTGTCTCTCACCTTGGTTGAACAATCACTGTCTCTCACCCTGGTTGAAAATGCTGTCTCTCACCCTGGTTGTACAATCACTGTCTCTCACCCTAGTTTAACAATCACTGTCTCTCACTCTGGTGGAACAATCACTGTCTCTCACCCTGGTGGAACAATCACTGTCTCTCACCCTGGTTGAACAATCACTGTCTCTCACCCTGGTGGAACACTCCGTCTCTCACCCTAGTTTAACAATCATTGTCTCTCACCCTGGTTGAACAATCACTGTCTAACACCCTGGTTGAACAATCACTGTCTCTCACCCTGGTGAAACACTCCGACTCTCACCCTAGTTTAACAATCACTGTCTCTCACCCTGGTTGAACAATCACTGTCTCTTAACCTGGTTGAACAATCACTGTCTCTCACCCTAGTTTAACAATCACTGTCTCTCACTCTGGTGGAACAATCACTGTCTCTCACCCTGGTAGAACAATCACTGTCTCTCACCTTGGTGGATCAATCACTGTCTCTCACCCTAGTTTAACAATCACTGTCTCTCACCCTGGTTGAACAATCACTGTCTCTCACCCTGGTGAAACACTCTGACTCTCACCCGAGTTTAACAATCACTGTCTCTCACCTTGGTTGAACAATCACTGTCTCTCACCCTGGTGGAGCACTCCCACTCTCACCCTAGTTTAACAATCACTGTCTCTCACCCTGGTTGAACAATCACTGTCTCTCACCCTGGTTGAACAATCACTGTCTCTCACCCTAGTTTAACAATCACTGTCTCTCACCTTGGTTGAACAATCACTGTCTCTCACCCTGGTTGAAAATGCTGTCTCTCACCCTGGTTGTACAATCACTGTCTCTCACCCTAGTTTAACAATCACTGTCTCTCACTCTGGTGGAACAATCACTGTCTCTCACCCTAGTTTAACAATCACTGTCTCTCACCCTGGTTGAACAATCACTGTCTCTCACCCTGGTTGAACACTCTGTCTCTCAACCTAGTTGAACACTCACTGTCTCTCACCCTGGTTGAACACTCACTGTCTCTCACCCTGGTTGAACACTCACTGTCTCTCACCCTGATTGAACAATCACTGTCTCTCACCCTGGTTGAACACTCTCTTCTTTTAGCCTGGTTCAACATTCTGTCTCTCAATCTGGTTTAACACTTTGTCTCTCACCCTGGTTGAACACTGTCTCTCACCCTGGTTGAACACTCTCTTCTCTTAGCCTGGTTTAACATTCTGTCTCTCAATCTGGTTTAACACTTTGTCTCTCACCCTGGTTGAACACTGTATCTCTCACCTTGGTTGAACGCTTTGTCTCCCACCCTGGTTGAACACTCTGTCTCTCACCCTGGTTGAACATGCTGTCTCTCACCCTGGTTGAACATTCTGTCTCTCACCCTGGTTTAACACTGTATCTCACCCTGGTTGAACACTCTGTCTCTCATCCTGGTTGAAAACGCTGTATTTCACCCTGGTTGAACACTCTGTCTCTCACTGTAGTTTGACACTTTGTCTCTCACCCTGGTTTAACACACTCTGTCTCTCACCCTGGTTTAACTCTCTGTCTCTCATCCTGGTTTAACTCTCTGTCTCATCCCCTGGTTGAACACTCTGTCCCTCGCTCTGCCTGAACACTCTCTGTCTTTCTATCAACATGATTGGCCACTCTCTGTCTCTGCAAAGTGCAATGTACCTCCTCGGATGAGAAGCCACCAGGTTTTTTCCTCTCAAAAACATATGTATTTTTTAAGCATCAAGTACGAACTATATTTTTTTTTTTATGTATATCCACAGTTTAGAAAGGGGATGCTCATTTTTAAATTTCGATTTCATTGTCCATGATTCTGCAACATACAACAAGACTAAATACTAATAGCGTTTGAGAATTCTCATTTATAATGTGTTTTTTGTTTCCTAATACATTCATTTTGTTCACTCGTGTTGTTGAAAATACTTATTATAGTCATTCCTAGACAGAGATACAGAAATATAGACAGATGCAGAGACAATGAAACAGGCAGGCAAAGACAGATAGAAAACAGATATAGTGAGAAAGACGTGTGGAGAAAAAGTCATGGACAGACAAACACAGAGGCACAGTATCAGAAACATAGACAGAAAGTTGGGTGCAAACACAGGCACAGAATTGGAAGCATAGACAGAAAGTTGGGTGCCATGTGAAGATAACAGAAACATTCAGAGACATAATAATACATATGTAGAGATACAGGTATACAGGAGGACACAGAGACAAAGACAGACATATGAGACATATTAGAGACATACAGACAGCTATGTGCAGATACAAAGTCACAGACACAAACATTTATGAAAATTCAGAGGTAGGCACAAAAAGACATAAACAGACATATTGTAAAACAGATAGTCAGGTTGGTGACAAAAAATGAGACAATTCATTGATCTTTCAGTGGAACAAAGTAAGTAAACTAGCCAAGTGAAAGCATACATACCTCAACAATCCTAAACAAAATGTAATCACTCAGAAACCAGACCAGCATGTGTCCCAACAGGAATGCCAAGGGAGAGATGCCAAACAGAAAGTAGAAAGATGCTGAAGTTATTAATCCTAGTAAGATGCTCTCTCCAAAGGGTTCAAAAAGGATGAGAGAAGGCACCATCGATACTCTGAGTTGTGCCCACCTGAGAGGGAGGAAAAAAAACTGTTATGGAAAAATACAGTTACAAAAGAACATGTCAAATGTTAATAAATATCAGATTTACCTATGTGGGAAAGCAAGAATAGACCCACTGCCTACCCAAAAGCATGTCGTAAGAGTCGACCAATTAGGAGCTTCCTTCGAAGTCAGAGTGCATCGACCGAAGAGGCAATGAACCAGCAGTCTGCATACCAACAGTCAGATCTGTAAAACAGATGCACACGCAATACTCAGGTTTTGGAACAAGACTGCAGTCCAGAAGTGGACGAACAACCAGAACTTTCTGCCGGAGTTTACAGCTGGTGAACGCGAAGAAGAAGAAAAATATCAGATTCAGATTTTTTTTTAAAGATTTTAGATTTGATTAACTCAGAGAAAAGGCAAGATGGATTTACAACCTATTTGCTGCTGGTACCATAAGAATTGGAACTCTGTGTTGACTCCTGAGGATGGGAACAGAGCACATATGGGAATGTCCTGAGTACTAGGATGTCAGTTCTTAACTCAGCTAAATTTAGTTTTTCTTACAAACTTCGACTGTCAAAATAACACGAACAGCTGGTCAGTCAGTAAGTCAGGTATTTACTCAGACAGTTACTTTGTTAAGTGCTATGTTTCCTAGACAATAACTGCTCCCTCTCCCTCCCCCACATCCTCCCTAAGCCCTAGTTAAAACCATCAGCTAGAATGACAGACTTGTGGCTGAATGCTCAGTGTACAGACAGCACTGGTGCACCCCATTGGTGTACAGACAGCACTGGTGCACCCTGTTGGTGTACAGATGACAGTGGTACACCCAGTCAGTGTACAGACAGCACCGGCGCATATTTGATAAAGAGCGGGTTGTTTCAAGGTATGTCACTTATGTGAAATAAAGAAGTATAATTTTTGAACCAGCAACTTCTCGACAAGATATGCACCTTTACTGCCATACAATCTTGTTTTGGTGATCAAAACTCCTCAGAAAATTGTTTCATTCTCAGCCCTGCAAGGATCAATATTTATCATCATCATCAGTTCTCGTTATGCCTAGTGGCACATGAGGCTTCAGAGAGGACTTTCCATGCTTTCCTGTCCTGTGCAATCTTCAGTGCAGTTTTCCATGTCAAAGATGCCGCACTCGGGTCACTTTCCATCGTTCGTCTCCATGTTGTTTTTGGGTGCCCCTGTTTTCTCTTTCCCTCTGGTGTCCATGTGAAAGCTGTTTTGGCAGGTATATCAGAAGTCATTCTCATAACGTGGCCAAGCCATTTCCATCTTCTCTTGGTAATCATACTGTCTAAAGTTTCTTGGTTTGTGGCTTGAAGTAGTTTAGTGTTTGAGATTGTATCTGGCCAGAAAAATTTGATAATTCTACATAGACATGTGTGGTGGAAGGTGGACAGCTTGTGTGCATCCTTTTTGGTCATTCTCCAGCATTCCGCTCCATAGAGAAGAACTGGCAAAATGATGCTCTTGTAGAGTTTTGTTCCTCTGCAGTAATTGTTGGATTTCCAGATTTGCCTCATCCTTCCAAAAGCAGCTCTAGCTTTGTTCAGACGTGACTGTATGTCTTCCTCTGTCCCTCCCAGTAGGGACACTACACTGCCAAGATATGTGAAATGTTCTACATTTTCAAGTGATTGGTTACTTATGGTCACTGGTTGTTGGTTTGGATTGTTTGTCATGATCTTAGTTTACTTTGTATTTATTCTCAGTCCAACCATTTCTGCTGTGCAGTATAGTCTGTTACTTTTCTCTTGTATATGTTCATGTTTATATGATAGGAGTGCTATATCATCTGAAAAATCAAGGTCCTCAAGCATGGTGAATGGAGTCCATCGTATGCCTCTTAATGTCCTGTCTACTGTGTTCTTTAGTATCCAATCAATCACAAGGCAGTCACAATTCCCTATCATCACGGATCAGGTCAGTGCTCACATCCTACCCCATATATGTGGCCAAGTAATCAAGGTATTTTATCTCCTTCCTTCCCCTTTCCTTTTTGTTCAATGCCCCGGACAGCGCCTGAGGCTTCTACCACCCACCTTGACTGTCCCAGCACCCCCCCCCCCCCCCCCCCAATCTGATTACCTTGAGATGCCACCCCAATGTAGGACACAACTTTTCGTCATGTTAAAGCCCCCATTGCTGTTGCCAGGGGCCCAGTTATAGCCTAATGGTTAAACATGGTTTCTGGGACTTGTGCCCGGGTCATTCTCAGCCTATGGTGGTAATTTGTGTCACCAGGTGTTTATAGCTCATTTTGCAGTCCTGGTCTAGTTGAACTTCATTCCTTCTAATCTGATAGAGGTAGCTTTCAACCCCCCCCCCCCCCTCTCCCACAAATAGGCAGTAGCTCCTACTCTGGGAAACACTGATCTAGATGATGATGATGATACCACAGAATACACACACACACACACACACACACTCATACACACACATACCAACCTGATCATCCTCTGGTGGAACTCTTCTATAGAACAGTTGCCTGAATTCTGTAAAGCTGGTGTTGATGCAAGCACAACTTTATAACCCCTGCTCAGACAAACACAGAATCTATGTTGAACTTTGTCAATGTTTAACTATGTTTGGAACCAGAAACACATTAAACCAACCCATGAGTTCCCAACCCATGTGACCCCAAATGGGGGTCACGGAGGGTTTTCTGAAGGATCGATGGGCAATGGCAAACTATGATAATTTAAAAAAACAAGAGGAAACAAAAATCAGAGTATTGCATCCTGCACAAAGATTTCTTTGTGCAGGATGCAGGTACATTTTGGTTGATGTTTTCATTTATTATATTTAAATGTTGATTTTTAATTTATGGGGTCATTGTCAATTTTCCTGCAAAAAATGACGTCATGATTCAGAAAAGGTTTGGGAACCACTGCACTACATGTTCAGTAATTCTTCTTCTTCTTTTATTGTCGTCTCACTGATACCAGTTTGTAGCTCAGTGCCGGGGTTTTGTCGTCTCACTGATACCAGTTTGCAGCTCAGTACCGGGGTTTTGTCGTCTCACTGATACCAGTTTGTAGCTCAGTGCTGGGGTTTTGTCGTCTCACTGATACCAGTTTGTAGCTCAGTGCCGGGGTTTTGTCGTCTCACTGATACCAGGTTGTAGCTCAGTGCCGGGGTTTTGTCGTCTCACTGATACCAGGTTGTAGCTCAGTGCTGGGGTTTTGTCGTCTCACTGATACCAGGTTGTAGCTCAGTGCCGGGGTTTTGTCGTCTCACTGATACCAGGTTGTAGCTCAGTGCTGGGGTTTTGTCGTCTCACTGATACCAGGTTGTAGCTCAGTGCCGGGGTTTTGTCGTCTCACTGATACCAGGTTGTAGCTCAGTGCTGGGGTTTTGTCGTCTCACTGATACCAGGTTGTAGCTCAGTGCTGGGGTTTTGTCGTCTCACTGATACCAGGTTGTAGCTCAGTGCTGGGGTTTTGTCGTCTCACTGATACCAGGTTGTAGCTCAGTGCTGGGGTTTTGTCGTCTCACTGATACCAGGTTGTAGCTCAGTGCTGGGGTTTTGTCATCTCACTAATACCAGGTTGTAGCTCAGTGCTGGGGTTTTGTCGTCTCACTGATACCAGGTTGTAGCTCAGTGCTGGGGTTTTGTCGTCTCACTGATACCAGGTTGTAGCTCAGTGCCGGGGTTTTGTCGTCTCACTGATACCAGGTTGTAGCTCAGTGCTGGGGTTTTGTCGTCTCACTGATACCAGGTTGTAGCTCAGTGCTGGGGGTTTTGTCGTCTCACTGATACCAGGTTGTAGCTCAGTGCTGGGGTTTTGTCGTCTCACTGATACCAGGTTGTAGCTCAGTGCTGGGGTTTTGTCGTCTCACTGATACCAGGTTGTAGCTCAGTGCTGGGGTTTTGTCGTCTCACTGATACCAGGTTGTAGCTCAGTGCTGGGGTTTTGTCGTCTCACTGATACCAGGTTGTAGCTCAGTGCTGGGGTTTTGTCGTCTCACTGATACCAGGTTGTAGCTCAGTGCTGGGGTTTTGTCGTCTCACTGATACCAGGTTGTAGCTCAGTGCTGGGGTTTTGTCGTCTCACTGATACCAGGTGGTAGCTCAGTGTCATAGTTTTCTGTATTTGTCTTGTGCTTCTCGGGTGGCTTGGGTGATAAAATGTGTTCATCTTTTTGCAGCTTTCAGCTACTCCATTTATCTATCTCTTTCTTGGCCTTGCTCTTGATTTCCTTCCAGATGTTTTACTGTAAAAAGTCTAAAACACAGTCTGGTCTGGCTGCATTCTCACTAGATGGTTGAACTATTTCATTCTTTGTCTGCCAATATAATCCAGACATAGTCTTATTCTGACTTTCTCTCTAATGCTGGTATTCGTAACCCTGTCAGTTCTTGTTTTATTAGTGACCTTGCAGAGATAGTGTATTTCACATGTAGCAATTTTATCTTTTAGTGTCCTATTCATTGTCCATATTTGGCACTGATAGCATAAAGGGAGACATTGGGGGTTTAAGCAGCAGGGTTAACTGGTAGGTTAGCAGCCTATTTTATTCCAGGGGTACTGATGTTACCTTTCCTGTGGAGCTAACAGACCATGTTAATTACACAAGTAATTACTCTAAACATATAATTTTTATACATTTCTATTTGTATGCTAAATTCACTGCCCAGGATATAGATGGGGGGGGGGGGGGGGGGGGGGGGAATGAATGAACTAACAGGCTGTTGCCACTCCTCAAGATTGCGAGATACTTCAGATCAAGCAGGTGAGGTAAAGACTTTCTGTGGTCAAGTAGACATTGCAACAGAAGAGACATAGTATATACGTCTGGAGACACTATTTCAGTTGAGAGTCAGCTGGGCTCTGGAGCACATATAGACTATTTCAGTTTAGAGTAAGCTGGGCTCTGGAGCAGCTGGGCTTTGGAGCAGCTGGGCTTTGGAGCAGCTGGGCTTTGCAGCACATATGACAGAGGAAGAACTATGAAATATGGTGCATGTTCAGATGCCTTAGGAGCACCAGGTAATATGGTACATATATTGTTGCCTTAGGAGCACTGGGTAATATGGTACATATATTGTTGCCTTATGAGCACTGGGTAATATGGTACATATATTGTTGCCTTAGGAGCACTGGGTAATATGGTACATATATTGTTGCCTTAGGAGCACTGGGTAATATGGTACATATATTGTTGCCTTAGGAGCACTGAGTAATATAGTACATATATTATTGCCTTAGGAGCACTAGGTAATATGGTACATATATTGTTGCCTTAGGAGCACTGAGTAATATAGTACATATATTATTGCCTTAGGAGCACTGGGTAATATGGTACATATATTGTTGCCTTAGGAGCACCGGGTAATATGGTACATATATTGTTGCCTTAGGAGCACTGGGTAATATGGTACATATATTGCCTTAGGAGCACTGAGTAATATAGTACATATATTATTGCCTTAGGAGCACTGGGTAATATGGTACATATATTGTTGCCTTAGGAGCACTGGGTAATATGGTACATATACTGTTGCCTTAGGAGCACTGGGTAATATGGTACATATATTGTTGCCTTAGGAGCCCTGGGTAATATGGTACATATATTGTTGCCTTAGGAGCACTGGGGAATATGGTACATATATTGTTGCCTTAGGAGCACCTGGTAACATGGTGCATATATTGTTACCTTAGGAGCACTGGGTAATATGGTACATATATTGTTGCCTTGGAAGCACCGGGTAATATGGTATATTGTTGCCTTGGAAGCACTGGGTAATATGGTACACAAACTGGACTTACTGAGACCGTACAGCTTCAGCTATAAAATGATCCTCAGCCAGATATTTCCCAAAGCTCTGAAGTCCCCCGGCAACATCCAGAACACTGCGACGTAACAAGCTGGACATGCCAGTGGAACAGTTAATGTTGACAGCATTGGCACTGAGGCAATTCCTTGCTTGCATTGTCCCAAAGTACACCTGGGCAAATTAGCAGCAATGATTACATCCACATTCGTGTGGCATGCTATGGGGAGAGAAAACTGGAGTTCATAATGACAACAGGAATGCTAAAAAGGGAAAATAGGTAAAAGGTGAAATAGAGAACTCCACTGGACTTCACTACTTTAACACAGGTCAGGGCTAAAAAAAAAAAAAATTGAAAAAAACAACAACAATAAAACTACTAGTAAAGAAACTTTTTCCTTACCTTGACAGGTTTTTGGTATTTAGACATAGCAATCTATTTTTGAGAGACTGTTTAGCTAACTGTGGCCAGCACATAAATGTTGAATTTTGAATTAAAAATCGACATCACAGCACTCGGGAAACTCCCATAAGTGCTCCATCCCTGTCTTAAGCAGCAAGTGAATAGTTCCAATTCCGATGGTACCAGTAGCCCTCTGATTGTATATCCATCTCATTCTTTCCCTGAGTGTTGAGCGTCGGCCACATCAACTGGTAACTCCTCACAGCGCCATTCTCCTCAGACAGTAATGATCTATCTGCGCATCTGCACTGTTCACTCATTCCCAAAGGACCCTCACAATATCTAGCTTGTCATACACCAATTTACCACCAAGTGGTGCATAACTGGCCAGTCTATCTGCCTGCTCATTTCCCAACACACCGGCATAACCTGGAGAAAATACAGCACATATCAAACCTGATAATGGACACTACCAAAGGATTTGGGTGGAGAAACCAGTGGAGAGAACTCCAGCCATTTCCATAGAAGAAATGCAGCCTGAAACTTAACTCTTTGAGCCTCAAGTAACGCATGATCTGTTATGGCTTCTTATCACACACACATGAATCCCCACTCTTGCATTATGTTTATTTATGCCTGGTCACAGTAAGCCAAAACATCTGGCCACTTCCACTGCAATGTTAGTCTGTGCAACAGATGCACTCATGGCTTTAAACTGGTTATTTCCCGTGCCTCCCTGAGCATCCTCTGCCAAATCTTCTGAAAGAGTTAATGTTATGATGACAGGATCTTGGAGACTGACTGGCCACTTGGCCTTAGTTTTCAGCTGGTCTAGAAATGAAACTCCAACAGGCAGGCAGGCAGACAAAGTACTGCAAATATTACGTTCAGTAGTTTGCCATTGCTTTGAACAATGCCAGCTCTTGGTACCACTTTCAAAACCAACACAAGACAAACTGTCAGCAGCTGGGATCAAACCTGGCACCCTGGCATTATGGAGATAGCACAATATAACACTGGAAAGACAGAAAGGGGCCAGCTATGGCTATTTAGCTATAGCATCAAACTTTACACTGTCAAACTAAAACCACATAATAATAATACAAACTTTCAAACAAAACTTTATAATTATCCTGTACATTAAGGGATTTAATAGTTTTTATTTTTATTTTTATTTTTTTAGCTTTGTGTCTTAAAGTGAGAAAGGAATAAAACAACAGCAGAAGTAAAGAAGAACAAAAACAAAAGAACAAAAGTTACCTGCTGATAGACTGCACCAAATCCCTTTCTGGTAGCACAATATGGCATCTGTAACACAAGCCCCACATCCGGCTTCAGGCAGTGAACCATCTCATGCAGACTGGTGGGGGTCACTGAGGGGATCAACAGAAAAGTCTGTTTTATGACAAGTCTGTTTTATAAATAGTCAATTTTATGTCTCAGAGCTGGCTTTGGGAAGTGAACCATCTCAGACAAACTGGTGGGGGTCAGTGCTGATGATACACACACACATATATACACACACAAATACACACATATTTTAAAAAAAGTCAGTTTTAAGAAAACAAATCCCTTGTATAAAACTATGTTTTATGAATGGGGCAATGGTAGTGAAGCAGCTAGAAACTCATCTGCCAGCCTGAAAGTATAGGCCCCCAAGTTGCCCGAGCCTAAAATATGTAGCAGAAGTAAAGGCGGCTGGGGTGATGGTAGTGCCAGCTGTACATTTGCACATGCACCACTGGTGTAAAAATGGTTCTGTACTGTTTTATAGCAGTGCCAGCATTACAAAGATGGACTAGTTATTTGAATTTATTAAAACATCATAGCATCATTTTGCCAGTTCTTCCTAATGGAGCAGAATCCTGGAAAATGACCAAAAAGGATGCACACAAGGTATCCACCTTCCACCATTTTTGTTTTACGTGCGCAAAAATACACAAAGGTGTCCGATCTTACTACCCAGAGACCAGGGAGAAATTACTAGAAGTCCACGTTAAAAAATCCCAGCCTTCACCAGGGCTTGAACCCAGGACCTCCAGCACTTGAGGTGGACACTATACCTCGAGACTACTCAGCCACCTTCTAATTTCCTGGAAAGTAAAGGATCACAACTGCCACCAAGTGCCAGATTGGTCTATACAAATGTGAGTCAAGCACCATTTGGGCTACTGGGGTTGGGGGAAAAAAGTTCTTTGACTTACAGTTTTTTGTTTTACATCTGTGTATTATCAAGAGTTTTAGACTAACCGTGTGTTCCCTCACCACCTATCACTGGCATCATGAGAGCTAATAGACTGAAATGGTTGAGGCATATTGAAAGAATGACAGATGACAGAGAAGTAAAAACTGTATACACAAGGGAGATGCATGGTCGTAGACCATGAGGGAGACCAAGAAGACGATGGAGAGCTAATATCCAGACAGACCTGCAAACACTTGGTGTTACCAACTGGAAAGAGAAGGCCAATCAGAGGGATGAATGGAGGCAGGTGATATCTGCAGCAATGAACCTCAAGGGCTCAGAATGCTGAAGAAGAAGAAGTGTGTTCCCTCTGTTTTCATCCTAAATCTGAGCCTCCCCCTCCCCCATGAATGGGTCTGGGGGGTGCCCCATGAAGATAATCCAACTCATAACTCATTTCATATTGTATGCTGGCCAAAAAATATTTGTTATCAGACAAGAAACATAAAAATGTTGATTAGATTAAAACAAGTGTGATACTTACTCATGATTCCTGAATCTGAGATCACAATATGATCATATTTGGCCGCCTCATAAGGATGGACCATGTTGTTAATTTTTCCATTGGGACCAACAGTTTTGAGACCTGCCCCAAAAACAAAGTAACAGACAAATTAGTAAACATACACTATTTTGTGCAGAAATCAAGGGAGAATTGCAAATTAATTCCCCAAGTATTTTCTGATCCCATCAGGGATTCAAGAATATCTATGCATCTGTCTAATGTCTTTAACTGTGTCTTGTAGTGAGTTTCCATGTCTTGTGTTGTACTTGGTACACTGCCTAGTTCAAATCATTTCTGAGTTTCCTATTTTCATATTATTTGTCTCATACTGAATAGGCAATTACTAAAATGGACAGAAGCTGTGGAAAAAAACTACAATCCTGCATTATGTAAACAAAAAGATTACATAGTAAATTTCAAACTTCTGTGGTGAGCACATGGGTTATCATGAAATTCCTTTGGTGATTTGTACATTATAATAACGAACAATGTGATTTTGTGTATTTCATTTGAAAGGATTCTTATTTTGTGCTTCATTATATGTTGAGTTAAACTCAGTAATGCATCTGATGAGAAACAGCAAATACACCAGACAATAATTTGTGCAATGTATATTGTTTATGGCAGGAAGATTGAACTATTCCCTATGTTCCTGAAGCAAGAAGCTAATCAATAGTGTAGTGAGTTTATAGATTCATTTATGATACATCAGACTAATAGATGTAGTGATGCCAGAGATTCATCAGTGATACAGTGATACATGAGACAAATCTATGATGTAGTGATTTGAGAGACTTAACAGTGATACAGTGATACATCAGACTAATAGATGTAGTGATGCCAGAGATTCATCAGTGATACAGTGATACATCAGACTAATAGATGTAGTGATGCCAGAGATTCATCAGTGATACAGTGATACATAGGACTAATCTATATAGTGATTCAAGGGACCCATAAATGAAAAGTGATACACATGAGACTCATAAATGATTCAATGATTCATAAATAAGACTCATCTCAAAATGTATACAAGTGACTCATCAATGATACAGTGATTGATGAGACTCAGCAATGATGGAATGATAAACAAGACTTGAGGATTTTTGGTGACAGATGAGACTCAGCAATGATGGAATGATACACAAGACTTAATGATATATGGTGACAGATAAGACTCAGCAATGATGGAATGATACACAAGACTTAAGGATATATGGTGACAGATGAGACCCAGCAATGATGGAATGATACACAAGACTTAAGGATATATGGTGACAGATAAGACTCAGCAATGATGGAATGATACACAAGACTTAAGGATATATGGTGACAGAGGAGACCCAGCAATGATGGAATGATACACCAGACTTAAGGATATATGGTGAAAGATGAGACTCAGCAATGATGGAATGATAAGACAAGAATATATGGTGACAGATGAGACCCAGCAATGATGGAATGATACACCAGACTTAAGGATATATGGTGAAAGATAGTTAGTTAGTTAGTTAGTTAGTTAGTTAGTTAGTTAGTTGGGTTATCCTCATTGCACTCCGGACATGTCCATAGGTGCTCAGATCCTCCCCTCAGTATGAACCCCAACGTCCGATGGCTAATAGTACCAGTTCTATGTTGATTAACAAGTCTTCTGGCGTAGCTGGTGTGCGTCTCGTTTTTTGCTGTGCCGATCTTAATTCCCAAGTCTGCCATTCTGGTGAGTGATGTGGATTCACTGCCACCAAAGTCCTCTATTCTTCCCATTTCTCTGAGGGCATTGATAATATCAGCATGATCCATAGGCTGACCGTCGGTAGTGATAGCGGATCCAGCCAACCTGTCAGCTCTTTCATTTCCATTGACGCCTGCGTGTCCCGGAACAAAAATAAAGGTGACTCCACGAACAGTGGACTTCTGTAATGATTCAAGCCATTGTCTTCGCACTGAACCTGCCTGAACCCTCCGGATCATACTCATTGAATCACTGAGTATACACACGCGGGTGTATTTTTGTGTTTCAAGCCAGGCAAGCGCTTGTGTCACTGCCATCACCTCCATCGTCATGCTGCTGGTTGTCATGGAGAAGGCGCCGTTGGCTTCTTTGACTGTTCTGCCCGCTGAGCGTGCTGTAAATGCCCATGCGCTTCTTCTTTGGCGTATAATATGGTGAAAGATGAGACCCAGCAATGATGGAATGATAAACAAGACAAGAATATATGGTGACAGATGAGACCCAGCAATGATGGAATGATACACAAGACAAGGATATATGGTGACAGATGAGACCCAGCAATGATGGAATGATATACAAGACAAGGATATATGGTGACAGAGGAGACCCAGCAATGATGGAATGATAAACAAGACTCAAGGATATATGGTGACAGATGAGACCCAGCAATGTTGGAATGATAAACAAGACTCAAGGATATATGGTGACAGAGGAGACCCAGCAATGACGGAATGATAAACAAGACTCAAGGATATATGGTGACAGAGGAGACTCAGCAATGATAGAATGATACACAAGACTTAAGGATATACAATGACAGATGAGACTCAGCAATGATGGAATGATACACAAGACTTAAGGATATACGATGACAGATGAGACCCAGCAATGCTACAGGGAAATGAACAAGGAGACATACTGACCAGTGGGTAGTGAATTGATGCGTGACAGGCTAGATGAGGTCAAGGTCCTTTGGGAGCAAGTGAACAATGCGGAGAAACGAATAGATCATTTTGGTCTGGAGAGGATTGTACAGCTGGGAGTGACCAGGGATCTGCTCGACACTCTAAAAACATAGGAAGAGACTCAACAATGACCCAGTGATATACGAGACTCAACAATGATACAGTGATACATGAGACAGTGAAGATCCAGTGATACATGAGACTCAACAATGATACAGTGATACATGAGACTCAACAATGATACAGTGATACATGAGACTCAATGATGATACAGTGATACATGAGACTCAACAATGACCCAGTGATACATGAGACTCAACAATGACCCAGTGATACATGAGACTTAACAATGACCCAGTCATACATGAGACTTAACAATGACCCAGTGATACATGAGACTTAACAATGACCCAGTGATACATGAGACTCAACAATGACCCAGTGATACATGAGACTTAACAATGACCCAGTGATACATGAGACTCAACAATGATACAGTGATACATGAGACTCAACAAAGATCCAGTGATACATGAGACTCAACAATGACCCAGTGATACATGAGACTTAACAATGACCCAGTGATACATGAGACTCAACAATGATACAGTGATACATGAGACTCAATGATGATACAGTGATACATGAGACTCAATGATGATACAGTGATACATGAGACTCAATGATGATACAGTGATACATGAGACAGTGAAGATCTAGTGATACATGAGACTTAATGATGATACAGTGATACATGACTCAATGATGATACAGTGATACATGAGACTCAATGATGATACAGTGATACATAAGACTCAATGATGATACAGTGATACATGAGACTCAATGATAATACAGTAATACATGAGACTCAATGATGATACAGTGATACATGAGACTCAATGATGATACAGTGATACATAAGACTCAATGATGATACAGTGATACATGAAACTCAATGATGATACAGTAATACCTGAGACTCAATGATGATACAGTAATAGATGAGACTCAATGATGATACAGAAATAGATAAGACTCAATAATTATACAGTAATACATGAGACTAAACAAATTAAGTGATACATGCCACTGACCAGATACAGTAAAACACAAAACTCACCCACAATATAATAATACATCAGAATCCTATTTGATACAGTGATGTATGCTATTTATGATACAGTGATATATGTGACCCACATATGATAGAATGCAATGACACATTAGACCAATGATATAATATTACGCTAGACTAATCTATGACACAGTGGGTCTGGATATTCACCTTAGATACAGCGATACAATGATACATATGACTCACCTATGAAAAGTTTTGCATCCACCTTAGGGTAACTTTCTATTAAACCTTTGACCACGAGGATTGCTGGATCATTATCATCTGGTACACTGAATAACAATTCAAACTGAAACATCACAGATAAAACAGCCATCAATATGTTTATCTGGTACACTGAATAACAGTTCAAACTGAAATATCACAGATAAAACAGCCATCAATATGTTTATCTGGTACACTGAATAACAATTCAAACTGAAACATCACAGATAAAACAGCCATCAATATTTCATCATTCATTATCATCTGGTACACTGAATAACAATTCAAACTGAAACGTCACAGATTAAACAGCCATCAATATGTTTATCTGGTACACTGAATAACAATTCAAACTGAAACATCACAAATTAAACAGCCATCAATATGTTTATCTGGTACACTGAATAACAATTCAAACTGAAACATCACAGATAAAACAGCCATCAATATTTCATCATTCATTATCATCTGGTACACTGAATAACAATTCAAACTGAAACATCACAGATAAAACAGCCATCAATATGTTTATCTGGTACACTGAATAACAGTTCAAACTGAAACATCACAGTTAAAACAGCCATCAATAGGTTTATGTTAGTTTTAGACTCAGTCGAGGTTTCAACTTCACGGCTATCGGGTCTCCCCATGTTAGCTTTGTTCCTGTGCCAGTGCCAGAGAAATAAAATATCCCTTGTTGTCTCATTAAAAAAAAAAAAACTGGTGAATAAACAACTAGTCCCAGCACAATCCAGAAATATGCACACGCAGTAAATGCATAGGGCAGTTGCTAGAGGCGCCAAAGCCGACAGTCGTCACCAGAAACGCAGTTTGTTGTTGATGGAAGTAGTCGGGCACGATAAGTTGGCTATACACACATAGAATTATCACATAAGGTATTTTATCAGCTCAAATTGAAAACCAAATTTGGCCCGTCAATGTCCAGCAAGTGGCCCACAGATCATTGTCAGTTATATTGTGTTCATGATTTGTCCTTGTCTGGGCTCAAACCTTTGGCCCGTGACCATCTTAAGGTTAAAAATGTTGGCCCCTGAATAAGCTCTGAGGAATAGCCTTGTAGGTAAAACAAAAGATAATACCCCATACTGCACACCAGTACACACTAGCTCGCTTCTGATTGGTCAGCCTTCAGCTTACCTCACTCCTGATTGATCGGCCTCGAGACTTCCAACTTTCACAAGGTCACGGGGCTATTCCGCACTGGCGCTGATATCGCGTGTTCTATATTTTACCATGCCAGAGCTTTTAACCCTCAAAAAACATTTAAAAACTGGGTCTAAGACACAACCCCCTAGAGAGTGATGAAATCTATGTTACAAGCTATCTCTTTCTTGGAGAAAAAAAAAACGTTGATGCAACACAACAGTCCGCCACACCCATAACCTTGACCATGGTATTCTAGTCCAACAAACTTATCAATGAAATGAACCTACTATTTGTGGGGAGACCAACGTTTGTATAACAGCCTTGTACTAAGGAATTCCCTTCCCATTCCCCCCCCCCCCCCCTTTTTTTTTTCCTTCTTGACATAATTTGTAAGCTGTATAAAGATATTTGCCTAGTATAGATTTTTTTACACAGTTAGAATGAGTATTTCAAATGCTGAAAGGAGCTAACCGCATTGCCAAAGTCAACATGAACCAGTAGCTAAGTTCAGCTTGGCTGAACAAACAAGCAGGCTATACAAAACACAAGACATGTACTTGGTCAAATAGGTTGTTTTCAAGAGTGTATCTGTCCAGGTAAACATCACTTTTAATGTCTTTGTTAAGAACTATAATCCACATGTTTTGAGAACTATAATCCTTAGTCAGTTTGAAATATAATCCACACTTATTGAGAACTGTAATCCAGAGTTATTGAGTACTATAATCCACAATTATTAAGAACTTTAATCCACATTTATTGCGAACTTCTTCTTCTTCTTCGCGTTCACCAGCTGTACACTCTGGCGGAAAATTATGGTTGCTCATCCAGTACTGAACTGCAATCCTGCTCCAGAACCTGAGTGTTGCATGTGCATCAGTTTTACAGATCTCATTCTCTCGAATACAGACTGTTGGTTCCTTGCCTCTCCGGCAGATGCACTCAAAGGAAGCTCCCCAATAAGTCAACTCTTACGACATGCCTTTGGAAAGGCAGTGGGTCTATTCTTGTTTTCCCCACAATGGGGCCCCGGAACCCACACAGAGGAAAAATTGTGAGCTTGGCAGTGCGAGATACCAAAGATATGCCGTGGCCAGGATTCGAACCTGGGTTGTCGCGGCCACAACGCGAAGTACTAACCACTATACGATCACGGCCAGGATGCTCACGAATATTTAAAACTATAATCCCTAGTTAATTAAAAAAAATAATCCACACTTATTGAGAAATATAATCCACACAACAAAGAACTTTAATTCACATTTATTGAGAACTATAATCCCTAGTCAATTAGAAATGTAATCTCCACTTATTGAGGACTATAATCCACAGTTATTGAGAACTTTAATCCACAATTAATGAGAACTATAATACAGAGTTACTATGAACTATAATCGAGAGTTATTGAGAAAGTAATTCACAGTTAATGAGAACTATAAAGACAGTTCTAATGCCTCCAACTACAGACCAATCAGCCTCACAAGTTGTCTCTGTAAAACAATGGAGCGCATCACCAACCTCAGACTACAGTGGTACATTGAAAGTGAAAACATCATTACACCACAGCAGGCGGGCTTTAGAAAGTTCTATTCTACGGAAGACCAGACAACATACCTCTCCCAAGAAATAGAGGAAGCTTTTCAAGATAAGAAACTGGTACTCGCGGCATGGATAGATTTAAGGAAAGCTTTTGATAAGGTTTGTAAGGAGGGGCTTTTGAAGAAATTGAGAAACTATAAAATAAATGGAAAAATGTACAATTGGATTAAAGCATATCTACATAACAGAAGAGCCCGGGTACAGGTAGATGGTTTTAAAAGTAAAAAAGTTCTACTGCGACAAGGCGTCCCTCAAGGTGGTGTCCTGTCGCCCACACTTTTCCTTTTATTTATCAACGATCTGGTTGCTGAGATACCAAATGGAATCAAAATGGCAATGTACGCCGACGACCTGGTACTGTGGTGCACCAATGAACATGCAACGATAGCCACAAAAACACTACAGCGGGCTACAAATGCACTTGAGGCATGGGCCAATAGATGGTGTGTCAGCATCAACACAGACAAATGTAGCACCACACTATTCACCCTCTCCCCAAAGCAAAAAGCCGGCACCATCAAAATAAACGAAATACTCCTGAGAGATGATAAAGAGCCCACATACCTAGGAGTCACATTTGATGACAGGTTGACATGGAGAAAACATATCAACAAGGCAGCAACCAAAGCCAGGAGGAAGACAGCAATACTAAGAAAACTAAGTGGAACCACATGGGGAGCAGATGGGAAAATACTCAATAAAGTATACAAGCAGAGCATACTTCCACACTTGGAATATGGGTCAACTGCATGGTGTTCAGCATCTAGTACCACATTAAAGGAGTTAGACAAAGTGCAAAATCAAGCGCTCAGAGTCATCACAGGAGGGATGAAATCAACCCCCATATTAGAAATGGAGAAAGCTGGGAAAACACAGGCACTGAGAGAACGCAGAGATACAAAGTTGCAAATACAAGCTGAAAAGTTCCTCAGTATGCCAGATCACCCGATGGAAAATAGATTTAAGAACCTAGCCTTGGGACGGTTAAAAAGAAGCAGCTTTATACACCAAGCAAAAAGAATATGTAGACAAACTCCTGACCTTCCAGAAATTGGCTGCCCACTAAAAAGTATTCCGGAACAAACCCCATGGAGAGAAAAATGTAAACTAACGGTACAAATCCAGACAAATGTGAAAGGGATATTTGACAAGAAAGAGCAAGATAGTGTACAACGCAAAATGGCCACCCTCAGTTATATTGATGAAGAATACCCACAAGAACAATGGGTCAGAGTCTATACAGATGGGTCCGCAGAAAGTGCAGTTAGAAATGGTGGTGCTGGAGTGTACATCGAATTCCCAGATGGTACTAGGGATAAGTCCAGCGTACCAACCGGGAAGTACTGCCATAACTACGATGCAGAAACCCAGGCTATTAAGATAGCTACAGAGAAACTGCTAAATACCAACCTTGGCTCACAGTATGTGGTAATGCTTACAGATGCTAAATCAGTACTTGAAGCACTCCAGTCTAGGAAACTACCAGAATTGCAAACACTGCTGACACAACTCAGCGTTCAGCGAAGAGTCGTAATGCAGTGGATACCGTCTCATTGTGGAGTGCCTGGAAATGAGAAAGCTGATCAACTGGCAGGGGAAAGTGCGAAAAAGAGCAGCCAGATGTACCAGTCACATACCACCAAAAGAAAAGAATCATTAAATCGATCAGGAAACCACCAGCCCCAGCACAAGACGACTATTTTATTATGGACAGACCAGAACAAGTCATTATCTTCCGCCTCAGAACAGGTCACAACCGATTACGTAACCACATGTACACAAAATTCAAGATAGGTGTATCAGCCATGTGCACCTGTGGAAATGTGCCCCAGACCGCAGAGCATGTACTCCAGGACTGCACCGAATTTGACACATTAAGGCAAACCTTTTGGCCAGAAAGAACAACAGTGGAACGTAAACTCTATGGACCACTGAATGAACTAACAACAACAGTGAAATTTATACAAGAGACAAAACTGCTGATATAGATAACTTATTTCAGGCGAACGAAAGAAGAAGAAGAAGAGAACTATAATCCACAATTATTGAGAATTATAAAAAAAAATTTAATGGTTAGTTAGTTAGATAGTTGGGTTATCGTCATTGCACTTCGGACATGTCCATAGGTGCTCAGATCCTCCCCTCAGTATGAACCCCAACATCCGATGGCTAATAGTACCAGTTCTATGTTGATTAACAAGTCTTCTGACGTGTCCGGTGTGCGTCTCGTTTTTTGCTGTGCCGATCTTAATTCCCAAGTCTGCCATTCTGGCGAGTGATGTGGATTCACTGCCACCAAAGTCCTCTATCCTTCCCATT